CCTCTCCAGAAGTCATCAGAATACTCTGAAGGATGCTGTACTTCCTATAATTACATGAAATGGGACATTGATATTTATAGATTAAAATAAAGGGTAACCCTAGAAGATTTAGAGACAAATACATGTTACATATTTTCATACTTTTATGTAGGATTCTACAATGTTCCTTAAATATTTAGGATTTAGGTAAATATACTTTCTTTTTAATGTTTCATTGGATGGTTGATAGTTGAGGATATTGGTAGTGAGGGCTGAGAAGCCCTAATTTACTAACCTGGATGAGAAATGGCCTCTACAGAGGGCATTTAGCTCTTGTGAATGCCTCTGTATGCGCAAGCTTTTCCAACACAGACCTGTAGATTGTCCAAGACAACCACAGTCTTAGTCTGATGTCTGATCTACAATGATAACATAGTCAACCAGGATACTTTTATAATCAGGTTTAAATGCTGGGGGAAAATCACTACATAGATTCATTAGAGAAAACACATCTTGGAAATTTTTTTTAATGTGATTTGAATCAGATCAGTGTTGGGGTACAATGGCCTATAGGGTAATGAGTGATAGACATTAGGAAATCAGTAAGACATTGTAGGGACTGCTCTGAAACCCAGGGACTCCCTATCAAGCCAATAATTGAAATTGACCAAAAAAAAAATCTCAGTTCAATTCCTGATTTTCTGTATCAATGGAGAGGGATGACATGGCTAATCCACTGCAGGTAAGAATCCATTACTGAGTCTGCTTAAATTATTACTTCCTCTTTCGAGGGCGTTTGGACATGAAATGGCAGGACATATGGTAAATTGTTGATATGCTACAGTTTCCAGAACCAATAGCATGAGAAGTCCTGAAGGTTACTGCAGTCCATATGGCAGGTATATCCAAAGGCACATTCAGCTGTGACTCAGCTCTGAAACCCCTTCATTGGTGGTAGCAGAAACTGACAAGGAGGCTGGAAAGTCCAGCCTATCATATTCCCCTACAGAACCTCTGAGCTAAATCCCTCCCTGGACCCTTCCACTGCCCACCTCACATGTACACTGCAAAGTGTGTTGTGAACCAACGAATGCTTCTAGCACCGCTTGTTGCCACTGAATCTTGCTTTATAGTATCAGGAAACACTGGAGACACCTGGGATGTTACTCATTTGGGACAGTGTGGGATGCCTGGGAGACCCTTTGTGACTCAGTGTTAAATAGCAAATAAGGCACTGAGACCTTTAGTGACCTTGATGTGCTGGAGATAAACTGACCCATTGTGTCATCGTGAAAAGCCTTCGATGATATATTACCTTGGAAAGTGGTTTTTTAAGACAAACCTTTGATCTTGCTGAAAGATGGACTCAGATGTTTGCTCTAATGACTAAGTGAAGTAAGTTGCTATGTACTTTGCTGTGTAAGTTGAAGCAGTCAGTAGAACGGATTAAACACAAGAGCTTTGGAGCAAGCAAGGTCTGGGTTTGAATCCTGATTCTGGGACTTGATAACTGATCTAGGGCAAATAGCCAATGATCACTTTATAGGATTCAGATGATTAAATGAGATCATGTATATAAAGTGGTTAGCACAGAATGAGTATTTGATAGCTAAAAGCAAGTCTAATTAGTAAATATCAATAACGAGCAGCTAATAACAGAGGTTATAATGGCAAAGGTTTATACCTTTGTAAAGGTTACTCTATAAGATAATAAGCTTTTAATTTACACAATAATTTAGATTTTTACTCTAGAACTTGGCTTTCATATATGAGTGTTTTCTGAAGGTAAGTATGTAGTATACATATCCTGGAATGTGTGATGAGAATATTCCTCTGGTTGCTCTTTGAAGCTAAAAATTTCTTTTTTTTTTTTTTTTTTTTGAGACGGAGTCTCGCTCTGTCATCCAGACTGGAGTGCAGTGGTGCTCTCTTGGCTCACTGCTGCCCCACCTCCTGGGTTCAAGTGATTCTTCTGCCTCAGCCTCCCGAGTAGCTGGGAGCACAGATGCTCACCACCACGCCCAGCTAATTTTTGTATTTTTAGTAGAGACGGGGTTTCACCATATTGGCCAGACTGGTCTTGAACTCCTGACCTCGTGATCCTCCCGCCTTGGCCTCCCGAAGTGTTGGGATTACAGGTGTGAGCCACAGCGCCCGGCCACAAAATGTCTTAAACTAGTTGTTTTTGTTTTTGCTTTTGAGACAGGGTCTGGCTCTGTCACCCAGGCTGGAGTGCAGTTGCACAATCTTGGGTCACTGCAACCTCTGCCTCCTGGGCTCAAACCATCCTCCCACCTCAGCCTCCCAAGTAGCTGGGACTATACGCATGCACCACCATGTCCAGCCAATTTTTTTTCTGTATTTTTTGTAGAGATGGGGTTTCACCATGTTGGCCAGGCTAGTCTTAAACTCCTGGGCTCAAGTGATCCACCCACCTCTGCCTCCAAGCTGAGATTACAGGCGTGAGCCACCATGCCCAGCCTTTGACTAGTTGCTTTTGACACGAGTTAACCTAAGGTTTTTTTGGACATACTTGTTCTTGTGTAGAGATGAAACCACCAGATTAGGCAGTGTTTCTGGTATTGGTAGTAGATTCTCAGAAATTTAGATAAATCTTTTCATTAAGTCTTGCAGGTAACTGACTTAATAGGAAGGGTTGAGGCTGCCATGTAAGGGTGGTAAGCTAACTGGTGCAGTGATCCTGGGATGAAATCTCTACCTTTAACTTACTCACTTTGACCTTAAACCAACTGAGCAAAATAGCCCAAAGCAGCTTATGTAAATGACCTGGAAAGATTTACTGGGTTCTAGGTCTGAGATGCCAAAGACAATATAAATCAGGTCCTTGTCTCCAAACTAAGCACAAAGCCACAGAGAGTGACTAGGGGCACCATAGTGCTGCATCACACAGCATAGAAGCGCTAGTCATTCTCAGCTTCCTTCTGATCACTACACACTTTTAAACACTAGACCTTCTGGTGGCATACAAATTAAAACACCAAAGCGAGATAAATGTAATTACAAAGCAGACTCTACTATTGGGTAACAGTGTGTGTGACATCTATAATATAAAGGCCTCTGTAGGTGGCATTTCAAGGTGGCTGCTTTTTAACATAGTGTTGCTTTTTTGAGCAGAATTGTGGGCTGTCCTGACCACACAGTCTTATAACCTCATGAGGCAGGATCTCTCATACTCCATGAAACAGGAGAACATTCTTTAGTGCCAGCCTGAATTTACATTCCCATATGCTGCAATTTGAGCCCCACTCTACCTTGTACTATCGCCCAGACCGGTCGGCTCAACATTCTAATAGATTCCCTGGAGATAGGATGTGTAATCAATTGTAGAACCAATACATTTCACTCTTTGGGCAAAATCTGTTAGCATACCAGGTGGCTCCAGATCCTCCACTATTTGAGGACTTCACATCTCACTGGAGTAGTCAGGGGCAGGGAAATGGGTGGGAACTGATGTCAAAGACAGCACCTTAAAGAAATGGCCCTTCAAGGATGAGTAAGATTTAAATTTGTAGATGCAAAAATGGTGGCTATTCTAGACGAAAATAATATTTGTTTCATTCTGTAGCACAGTTTACCCTTCCAATTTTTCAAGTTTCTTTTTCAACTTCACTTCTTGGAGTGCAATCTCCATGAAAATTCAACTCGTCATGTCAACTTACTTTCTGAAATGCTGTACAATCTCCGAGATTTATCTAAATTTACCCTACTTACCCAAACCAGATGGCATAAGTTTCTATAATGTTAGATCACTAAAGGCATTTCTGTTCCCTCCTTTTACCTAACAGGATAACACGTCTCCCACATGCTATTGGGCTAATACCCACAAGAGTTCAACCCTACCCTCCGAATTTTGATTTCTGACTTTCCCTTTTATCCAGCGAATCCCTGTCAGAATACAGAACCACCGCCCCACCCCCCCACCCTGCCCGCCGTCCCCTCGAAGATCTGCAGTCTAACCTTACCTAGACCCTTTCCCTCACTTAAGCCCTCCCTTGCTTTGACACCCTATTCTTGGTTCTCTTCCTCTCCTGCTCATTCCTTCTCAGGCCCCTTTTCCTCTGGCCATTAAGTGTTTCCCATAGGGCTCCGACTTTGACCCTAAGATTTCTCATGCTCCATACTTACACGGGGGAACTGCCTGGGGGCTCTCAGAACTGCAGAATACCTTATTTGAGGTAAGCAAGCCCCCTTAACGGACCCTCACTAGCTCAGAGACATTTTTCTGCCTTGGTTGAATAAAATCAGCCCGCAGGGACAAAAACTAATAAAGGGGAAAACTTCGTTAGGGAAACTTCCAGCTCCCTGCTCTGCTCAGGAGGTAGGGATCCTGACAGGAAAACCTTGTCAGGAGTCTCCATTGAAACCTCCTGGGTTTTGTTTTGTTCTGAATAGGAGCACGTGCCTTGAAAAGATAAGCACCCCGTGAGCTTGTTTTCTGGGACAGCCTCTTTATCCGAATCCACCTTAGACTGGAAGCGCCAAGTGCGCAGGACTACAAGCACCCAGTCCATGGAACAGCCCAGGCACCAGCCAGGCCCCGCCTTGGGCGGTTTGGGGGCCGTGGTCGCGTGCCGGGGACTTCCGGAGTCCAGGTCCCGGGGGAGGGGCAGGCAAAGCGCGATGGCGCGGCCCCCTCGGCTGGGAGAGCAGGAAACCGGGCACCAGCCGGCTCTGCGGAGAGGTGCCGCACTCAGCATAACTCCACCTCAAAGGGCAGACACGCGTTACACACTTAGGGCGGGACACGGGCGTTCCTTCCCGGTTCCACCCAAGCCCGTCGAGACCTTAAACACCTTCTCCGCCCAGAGGCCTCGGGACTGAGTCGGGGCGGGGTCGGTAGGGAGTCGGGGCGGGGTCGGGACGGAGTCGGGGCGGGGTCGGGACGGAGTCGGGGCGGGGCCGGGGGAAGAAATGCTTGGGCCGCGCAGCCGCAGTGCAGAGGCTCGGGTCCTGCTCTTACGTCACGTGGAGCCCCGCCCTTACGTGGAGCGGCGGGAGCGCGCAAGGCTGTGTCACGCAGGCGCGTTCGCGCGGCGTAGGTGGCGCTAGAGGCGACCCGGGGGATTGTAGGGCGACGGCGCTGCCGCCATTTTGTGGGGTGTTTGTCGCAGCGGCCGAGGAAGGAAGACGGCAGTTTGGCGACATTTCTCGCCCGAAGGGCCATTTGCTTTTGCGGAGGTAGGGTTGCCGGTGGTGTGTGCGGGGCCAGGCGGCTGTCGGTCTTTAGGTCCCCGAGCTAGGTGTAGGAGAAACGACCGCGTTAGGGGCCTGGGCTTGTGGAGCTGAGGAGTTCTGCGGGGCACTGCTCGGCTGGTGCGCGCCGGAAGCACCGAAAGTTGCCTGGGCGTCGCGGTTCTGCCGCTGACCCTTCTCTGAGGGCCCTGGCCGCTCGCGTCGCGGCTCCGGAGGCCCTGGGCTGGCCGTGCCCTGCTGGCTGGCGAGCGCGGCTTGTGGTTAAGCCTGTCGGGACCTCTTCCAGCCGGCGGGCGCGAGGACCTGTCGGGAGACTTTTCGAGAGCCGTCTCCGGCGTTCGTGTTGTCGGAGATCAGGTCTTTCCCTGGATTCCTGGCCTGGGCCGTTTGTAGCGTTTGGGGGGTTTTCCCGAGTCAAGCACTTGCCCCTGTGTTGAGTGCGCCAGAGGCACTGGCCGGGTTCCCGGGAGCCGGGAGGTGGGTACCGGGCGTCCGCGCAAATCCAGGTGGTTGAGGGCAGTAGGTGCTTGTGAGAGGTGGAAATTTGCGGAGGCTACTCCTCTGTGCTATACTGAACACAGCATTGTTGCAGCGAACCTGCATTTCTGGTAGTTTTGCATCTTATTATCCCTGGTTGCCTAAATAGCCCAGATGTGCTTATACGAGCCTTAGGAAACCGCCCCGCAAACTGAGCTTGCCAGCCACTTTGTCTTGCTTCATAGCTGTCCTGTGCGATTGTGCTTTTTACACACCCCTACTGGCTTGTAACCCATTAAATGCAGTCCTCTTGGAGCCCTCCGATCCTAAACTTATAACCTATTTCGATGTTTTTAAGCCACGTACATAGCGTTAAGTTGTCAAGAACTACAGGATCTGAAGGGCGGTGGCGCTGGATCTACATATGAGATGCATTGTGTCATTAGTTTTTGAAAGATACCTGGTTATTCTAGCACGCAGGGTCCTTTATTAATTAGAGGCAGTGTCATGATTCTAGATGACTTCTTTTTTGTGTATGCGAAGGAACCTTACCACATAGAACCTGGGTGGGGTGATCTTTATGCCTCCAGATAAAATATTTTTGAACATTGCAGGGTGAGTGGGGGAGGTCAGAGGCTGGGACTAACAGCTGAATTAAATTTGAAGTAGCGAACTTGAGAAAAATGTTGTACTCTCACAAGGGAGCTCGTTCTTATTTTAATGTTTGCATATTAACTCATAATTTGAGAATTCTGTTTTGCTGGAGGTTAGCTGGTTGTGGCAGACTTACAGTAGAAGAAGAAAAAACAAAACTGAGGTAGACACAGAAGTCTTGAAAAAACTTCATAATAATGGAGGTTGATAATAATAACCCGCGGTCATCAGATGTGATTTCGCTTGCTATGATTTAAAAATACTTAACCAAGCTGAGTTCCTGATGTGGTTAAAATACAACTTTGGTATTTGACGGAACGGTTCAGAAGAATTGCACTTGAAATTTATTTATTTATTAATTTTTTTTTTTTTTTTGAGACAGGATCTCACTGTCGTCCATACTGGAATGCAATGGCGTGATCATGGTTCACTGAAGCCTTGGCTTCCTTGGGCTTCAGTGATTCTCCTCAGTAGCTGGGACTACAGGCTCAAGTCACCATGTGCGATTCATTTTTTGTATTTTTTGTAAAGGCAGGCTTTCACCTTGTTGCCCAGGCTAGTCTCGAATTCCTGGGCTCAAGGGATGAGGCGCCACTGCGCCCAACCGTAAATTTTTCTTGATAGCTCTAATGAAGAAAGTTTGTGTTCTGGCCTTTTGCCTCAAGTAAATTTGTGCTGTTACTCACGTCACGTTCCAATATGGAAGTGACTCCATTTGTATCAAACCGGAATGCTCACTTCCATTGAGACGCTAACAAGAGTTTTAGAATTTCTGTTTGACCTGATCAGTGCCTTCTCTTCCTCTGTAAAGTAAGCTAAGAGCCACATTAGAAGGATGCCTGATGGGTATAGAATTAGAATCAGCAAGAGAATGAATGAAAATATCTGACTGACTGGTGGCAATCAGACTCTGATGGTGTGACACATACTTTCTTGTGGAATACCTCCCAGAAGAATTGAAGCTGCCTCATTTCAAAGCCTTTAATCCATTTAAAATCATTTAAATTTCTACTTGCATTTGTTTGCTTATTAGTCATTTGGGCAAGCTGAATGAGGTTAACTAAGTGGATTTTACTCCGTTTTAGCTTTTTTCAGCTCCTTACTGAATTGTGAAATTCTTCTCTTTTTACCATTTAAACTACCCTGTTCAGCAGAGTTTGGACCTGATTGTGCTTTGGAAAATAATTAAGATGGGGAGAGACAGATAGGGGTTATATTGTTTGAGCACAGATGCTGAGCCTGGAAGGAACCAGGTTATGCATTGGAGTTTGTAAATAGAGTCAGATGTCACTGTTATCGTTTGATTTCACTGTGACCATGCTTCAGTGTGCATCCTTGTAGGCTGATTTCTTTTTCAGAGTTACTTCAGATTTACTACAAATAGATTTTAAGTTTAAGAATAACTGCTGGATAAGAAAATGAACTTGTTGGATAGAGAAAATGAGTTCATAAAATCACATAAACATTAAGAAAATTTTTTTTGTAGAGACGGGGTTTCATTATATGTAGCCCAGGCTGGTCTGAAACTCCTGTACTTGGCCTCCCAAAGTTCTGGGATTACAGGCATGAGCCACTGCACCCGGCCTAAAATCACCTTTTTATATGTCTTCAGTTTCTCTGTTGAATATTGTGTTCTATCCACACAGAACTAATATTCTCAAAGCTTAGAGTCATTCTGAGATTTAGAGAAAAGAACTATGGAGAATTTGAGAAAAAAAAGCTTCATCATTGAATAGCTCTTTACAGTTAAAACAAAGTCACCTCCCATATTTAGTATCCCTAAGTATTTTTGTCTCGCACTAAAGTTATTTGTATTACAGTAATTTGCCAAAGCTGCATGACACTGTGATATTATTTCTCCTTAAATCAGCTCACATTTTAATGTTAACATTTTTAAAAGAAAATATGTCAGTGACTTAATTGGAAAATCACTAATAAGTAGAAAGTAACAAAACAAGATAAATAAAACAAAAAAGTTATTAATTTTTAGCTAAATACTCTTGTCCGCTGGAAACGGTACCCCTGAACCTTTTCATTTGGCCCTTTTTTTTTTTTTTTTTTTAATTTTTAAAAAGTCAGTTTGCAAGTGTTAGTTGAAGACAAGCACCAAGCTGAGAATTTGTCCTGGATGTAATCAGAATTCAAAAAAAATGTCTTAAGGTATCAGTATTACCCACAGTTTAATACTAGATCTCTATGCTTCTTAGCAGCCATCTGACATACCAGTGCCTTGGGAAACATTACCACCTAAAAAGAATTTGGAGCCTCTAAGACCCTGTGTGTTGGGTTTTGATAAATAATATTAATATATAATATTTTACCTATCACACATCTATAACCTCCGCAATTCCCTTTTCATTTCTATCAACAGATGCGGCATTCCAAACGAACTCACTGCCCTGATTGGGATAACAGAGAAAGCTGGGGACATGAAAGCTACCGTGGAAGTCACAAGCGGAAGAGGAGATCTCATAGTAGCACACAAGAGAACAGGCATTGTAAACCATGTCACCAGTTTAAAGAATCTGATTGGTAAATCAACTCTTGAACTAGTAGCATTGTAGCTCTAATAGTTTTAAATGATTTGTCATTTGCTTGTATAGCTTTCATCTGTCAAATTGTTTTATAATTCAGTCAACAAATACTCATTTAGAAAATATTTGAGTACTTATTTTAGACTAGACTATAGGTGCTGAGGCTGCAGCTGTGAATAAAACAAAGTTCTTATCCTTATGTATGTCTGTCTCCCTGGGAGTGGTAGGAGACAGTTGATCAGTAAGTGAATGTAAAATGTATTAAATAACATGGTGCGTCCCAGCTGCCAGTAACGTGACTAGGGAGATGACACACAAAAAGTTAAGTAATAGTGATCGAATGCCCAATGCGTACCTTTAATTTGTATATAAGAGGGAGACGTGTATGTTGTAGCGCTCATTAAGTGTTTCAGAAATCAGATAGGGTTTTATAGGGGAGGAGTTACTCCAACAGAGAAAAGCAACATGTATTATTAGTCACTTAAACACTGTATTGTATTTGTAGATGAGGCCAAGGGATATGTTTGTTTGGGATTTTTAGAAGCTGGCTTTATTTAAGAACTGTTGTTTTCATAGGTCGTAGCTAGTAATTTTGGGAAATGGCCTCAATAAAAAACTTGCAACAGCGTGTGTCCTGTTGTATTGTATTCTTACCAGTGTAAAATTTGGAGGTAATACATTTATATAGAATTAAAGGAATCTTAAAGTTCTAAATGATTAAAGAAAGGCTAGGTAGGTTTCTTTCACGGTTTCATTAATTTCCCTTTTTCGTTTGTTTTGTTGGTTCTGTTTTCTTCTTGTTTTGTGCAGATGTTCCATTGGGACTGTTTACCAGATTGCTTTCTAAATTAGCCAGCTGGGGTTACTTTAAAAAACAGTATGTAATTTCTTTCCTTCTCCACGTTAACAGACTTGTTCTGCCAAACTGAGCTTATTTGTAGTCAGTGCAGACAAATCATGCTTCATACACATTGTTATATAAGGGGAAGTAGGAAGGTTTATGGCAGGATTTCAAAGACCAGAAATAATTAATAATTAATGTACAGTATACTAAAGAAAACTATCTGTACCCCACTATTAATAAATACAAAAAACCCTAAGGCTTAACGTCATAGTACTAGTTACTCATTGGATAATAGGATAATTATACGTTATATATGTAGAAAGGAAGTGATACGAGTGATGAACAATTCATTCATGCTCATAGTTAATTACATAAACATGATACTGAGTCCAGTTAACCACCAGGCCAATACCTTCTTTGACATTGGTACCAGATGTGTTTGGTGGTCAACATTCACCATAATCCAGAATGTTCTAATTTTGAAGATCAAAAACTTTGAGTGTTTTTATAAAATAACAAAAAACTGAAAAATGCAGAAAAGTATAAAAATGGTAATCTCTATAGGATATTAGTCCCAATTATTTAGCTGTAAAATTATAATTTAAAAAAAATCTTTGTTTCTAAATCTTTGCTGCTGATTATTTCCTGAAAATACACTCCAAGAAGAAGCATTTTTAAGGTAAAAGATATGAACTCTTAAAAGTTTCTTGCTACAGGTTCATATTTCTTTTTCTAGAAAGTTTGCCAAATTATACAACGTGCCCCTTCATGCTCTCACCAATCTTGGCTGTTTTGAAAGGCCAAGAATAATGTTTTGATTAAACTGAATTTTTAAATTTCTAACAAATTTGTCCACTGTCACATAAGTATTGATCATTTGAACATCTTTTTATTCTTAGCCTGTTTATTAAAGTATATTTTATTGATTTAGAAGAGCTTTTTATGACATATTATTTTAACCATTTGTCATATATATGTTGCATAGTGTCTTTTCTTTATGATTTGTCTTTTGGAGGTAGCCTGTGAATTGGTCTCCCTTTCTACAGGCTTAGTTAATCCATTCTGCATTAGAAAGACTGATGTGGCTGTAAACCCTATCTTTATATTGTGCGTAGAAGCCTGTAACATAAAGTATCAAGTCTTAAAGCAGTGATTCTCCAACTTTAGTGTGAATAAGAATCACCTTGGAGGTATGTTGACCAGATTTAGAGTCAGTGAGTATGACTTGAGGCCCAGGGTTACCATTTTTAATAAGAACTCCATATTTGATATTGCTGATAAATAGACCGTCTTTTGAGAAATACTCTTTAGCCTAGCATGCAGGGCTTTTAATGATGCTATTCTCAGCTTACTTATTTGTCTACATTCCCCTGTGTGAAAATTGGTCTTGCCGGGATTGCCTTTTTCCTGAGTAATGCATAGACAAATCCATCTCTAAGCCATTGTGGCTAAAAGTGCCATATGAATTTAAGATGGTAACATGCCATTCTTCTCCACCAGAATTTCTTCTGTATTCTATTTTGTCCAAATCCTGGCTTCCCTTTAAGATGCAACTCTATTTCCATCTTTTTTGTAATTATTCTCTGACCATTTTAAACAGATTTTTTTCCCCATCTCTGACTCTAAGCACTCATGTGTTGTAACTTTTTAGAATTTCCTACATTGTTGGATTTTGTTTCATTTTTATGTGAGTAATCTCAAGTTGTTCATTATTTGTTGGCAGGGACTTTGCCTTATATAATTTTTTTTTTATCTCCCACAGGACCTGTGGATATATAAAAACGAATGCCCTTACCCTCATCCGTCTTGGCTATTTTAAAGGCTATAGTGAAATATTCACTGGGCATTCAGTGGATATTTTAAAAAATTAAATCAGTCTGTTCATCCTGTCTACCCTTTCCATAGCCTGTGTAATTCTGTAGACTTTGTTTATATAATCTCTCAGCCTTGGTCATTGGCCATTGTCTATTGAAGAGACTCTCATCCTTTTAGTTTGTCCTCATGGTGTTCACTCCATGTTTTGTTACTCTATATTATTGTTTATGGCTTAGCAGCTCTAACTTCATGCAGTATTCCAGCTAAAGATTGTTACTGTTAGTTTTTTCTAGTAGAAGGATTTTGGACTTTTATGGGAAGGATGCCCTTAAGAGTATGGTCACTTCTAGCTTATTGTGTTGGTGGTCTCCCTGACAGTTCCAAGCCAACTGATCAGATCTCTAATCTAGACTGCCCACAGTCTTACCCAAATATCCGGAGTTGTTTCTCCAATAAATACCACTTAAAGCTGACGCTAGGGAGAGAGAACCAGGTTTCTGTATCTCCCCAGCCTGGATTTGATACTAGCCCTATTGGGTAGTAGTTGTAAAGATGCTTCTATTTCTGCCAAAACGAGCCCCCTGGGAAAAAGAATGACATCGTACTCTGGGGAAAGGAAAGGGGTTGGTGAGGGCAATCTAGTCAACATCCGTCACTCCATTGCTTGTTAGGATTATTTTAGCCGATTTGTCTGACTGGGCAGGTGTCCCCTCTCTCCCTCAGTGCTCCATGTGCATCCCTCTTGAAGCTTCGCACTCTGTTGAAGAGGACACTCATCCCAGGTAGAGAGGGGGACGGGAAACTGGGCCAAATGAATCTATGTCCTTTTCTTTCCATCAGATCAAGGCTACTTAACTGGGATCCATTGACATCCTGAGGTCCATGACCTATGAAAATCCTTGCCAAGTTTTGTTTATGTGTTTCTTGGGGAAGAGAGTCCATGGCTTCCAGCAGATTTTCAAAGGGATCTGTAGATTAAAGCACTATGGCACTAGAGGATGGTGGCTTCTGTTGTTTCTTACATACTTCTCAAACAGGAATGACAGGAAATTAGAAATGCAAAGGGAAGTACGGTGGTAGAACTACTGTAATTCTAAACTGCAGGATCCCTTTCGTTCTTTAGGGGGATATATTTTAGATGCCTTTGGCACATGAGGCAGTCCTCAAAAGCTACGTTGTCTATATCTCAAACAGGAATAACAAGGCTAGAAATGCAAAGAGTAGAGGAGACATGATAGATGATGTGTGTAATAAAATTGGCTTGTATAATAGCGGTTAGAAAATATTTTAGTTTTTGTCACTAATGTGCTATACAACCTTGGCAAATCATTTTTCTTCTAGGGTTCCTAATTTAGTCGTCGGTAAAATGAAAGGGCTGGAATACATTTAAGGCTCCTTATAGCTCTAATGTACCTTTCATGAAAGAATTCTCTGTGTGCCAGGGATATCTAAAATGCTCTTACATTAAAAGACAAAGGAATCCTTTTTGCCTGCCTCTGATTGTACCTCTGTGAGAGATTAAGACAGCTTAGATACAGGTGCAGAAGGTAAAGGAACACTTAAGTAAACACTGGACCTAAATTAAGGATGTGACTCAAGCTTTATTCCTCGATGTGAAATGCTTGTCAGCAATCTCTATAATGGGCCCATTTGCTTGTTTGTTGAAGTAAAATTATTTCTTAAGCTTTGTGAGATAAATATAAATGCTAATTCATCTGTTTGAATTTTTTTCTTATATTGAGTTAGCTGTTTAAACCAAGAATTTTTGAGAAAAATGTTTTGTTTGAACCACATTATCGCAGAATGAAGAGAATAATTTGAAATCTTTTAATGTGTTTGCAGTCATTATTTAGAAGCAAGGTCCTTGAATGAGCGAGATTATCGGGACCGGAGATACGTTGACGAATACAGGAATGACTACTGTGAAGGATATGTTCCTAGACATTATCACAGAGACATTGAAAGCGGTTATCGAATCCACTGCAGTAAATCTTCAGTCCGCAGCAGGAGAAGCAGTCCTAAAAGGAAGCGCAATAGACACTGTTCAAGTCATCAGTCACGTTCGGTATGATTGATTTTGTTTTTATTTTGAGTGGAGTTTTATTTGTGTGTACTCTTAATGAGCTGATAAGTTTCTAATTGTTTATATATATATAAAATACTATTTGGATATATTATAATTGTATTTATGTTACTCAAATCCTTAAAGGAAACCTCCAGATTCTTGTAGCTGATCTATATATTTATTAGCCCTCATTTGCCCACATTTCCTCATATTCTGCAGACCAGATCATGAGTTTATTGATTTTAATAATAAAAATATTTTTGTATTTGTAACATATTCTTACAAAAAAATCATGCACCCATCTTTCATCTTAAGCATTTTTTTTCCCCTTAGAAACCCTTTATCTGGTACTTGAAAACAAATGTGAAACATTGCACTGGTGGATACCTAAATGTTACTAACCTACATAGAGCATAGTTCCATAGCACAGTGCGTCATTGTCTGCAGTGAATTCTTTTGAAGTTGTGAAAATGGGTGCTGAATGGGAAACATCCAAATAGTCTGCCCACCCCTTTTTTTTTGTACTCAGACATCTTCACCTGCTTGAACAGTGAACTTTGAATTAGCTTCTCCCCAAGTTTTCTTCAGTAAAACTAGTTTTTATTAGATTGAACATTGAAATTAACTAGCCTTTATTTCCCCTTTTATTTTAATCATGTATATTTTAAAATATTGCTAAATTAGAATAATTTCAAATAGTCTTGACATTTTAAAACATTTTTCTGACAAACTAGACATCTCAATTCACAGCATATGCTATTTATAGCAAGAGATAAGTAAATCATGCCATTGCATTCTTTAAATTTCAGACTTCAATTAAATCAGTATTTTAAAGAGACAATTGTGTTGTTTTTTTCTATTGCCACTTTAAGTATCTTATCTGAAAATCTGTTCCTTGCCATGTTTTTCTTCTGTAACATAAACTGTGCCCTGTGAATTTCTGGGGACTGAATTTGAAATTGCTCCTGCCAACTGTTCGTGGCCTGGTGCTTATCTGAATGCCTGAATATCTCCCCGCTGAATGAATTGCGTATTCTGCCCTGAATTCACTCTGATATATTGATTGGCTGGACGATCTTGGTGCTGCCCACTTGCCGTTCCAGAAGAGCCACCGAAGGAAAAGATCCAGGAGTATAGAGGATGATGAGGAGGGTCACCTGATCTGTCAAAGTGGAGACGTTCTAAGAGCAAGATGTATAGAATATTTTTCAACACTTTTTAAACTTTGCAGAAAGAATAATCTTTTTAAGAATAGTTTGTCAGCGGGGGGCTAAAGAACTCTTCATTGCTTTTTTATTTTGTTTTTTGTGGGTTTGTTTGTTCTTTTGTATTTCTTCTTTTCTGTAGAATTTAAATATTTCTATTCTAAAGTTCCAAAATAATCAGTGGAATTTGAGATTAGAGCAAGAAAGATAGCTCTATCTAATTGTTTTTGTAGCAGCTGAAACTAAAATAATTTGAGTGCTGAAACCTTAGTTATGCTTTGATAGAGATCATTTGAAAATATTCCACACTTAAGCATTCATTGTTTGAATAACTAGACAATTTGTACTCAGGTACTTACACCTCTTTTTCCCTCCTCACTTTAGATGAAATCGTGGACACTTTGGGTGAAGGAGCCTTTGGCAAAGTTGTAGAGTGCATTGATCATGGCATGTAAGTTTGTTTTTTCCTTTTTGAACATTCTGATATTTTTGGTGGGGAAAGATTCATAATTTAGATGAAATTTTATTTAATTAATTAATTAATTTATTTATTTGAGATAGGGCCTTTGTTGCCCAGGCTTGGGTTCAGTGGCGCCATCTTGGCTCACTGCAACTTCTGTCTCCTGGCTTCAAGTGATTCTCCTGCTTCAGCCTCTGGAGCAGCTGGGATTACAGGAGTCTGCCACCACACCTAGCTAGTTTTTGTATTTTCAGTAAAGATGGGGTTTCACCATGTTGGCCTGGCTGGTCTCAAACTCCTGACCTCAAGTGATCCACCCGCCTCAGTTTCCCAAAACGTTGGGATTATAAGCCTGAGCCACTGTATCCAGCCAAGATGGAATATATTTTAAATGGTAGCCACGTGTTTTAGGGGTAAATTACTTACCAAAATTTCTTGAACTGTGTATGATTAATTTACCATGAATGTGGATCTTAAGAATGCTGACTGCCAGACACAGTGGCTCACGCCTGTAATCCCAGCACTTCGGGAGGCCAAGGCAGGAAGATCACCTGAGGTTGGGAGTTCGAGACTAGCCCGACCAACATGGAGAAACTTTGTCTCTACTAAAAATACAGAATTATCCAGGTGTGGTGGCACGTGCCTGTAATCCCAGCTACTTGGGAGACTGAGGCAAGAGAATCACTTGAACCCGGGAGGGGAGGGAGGCGGAGGTTCGCCATTGCACTCCAGCCTGGACGACAAGAGTGAAAATCCGTCTCAAAAAAAAAAAATGACCAATTTCAGCGGGGAAATCATTGAAATTAAAGTGGATGTTCAAGTGAAGGAATTTCCCAGAACTCTAGAACTGAGGGCCTTGACCCTGTATACAAGATTTGGCAATTTCAGATTACAGAGGCAATAAAGCATGTCTAATCTTAAATGTTAAGAGTTAGCTTCCTAAACTATAAAGAAATTTTATCATCTAGAGCCTAGAGAATAAAGTTTGTGATTTGACCCTTTCTGCCTCATTTTACTGTTTTCCTCTAGGACCTCTATTTTGTGGCTTGCAAACTTTTTTGTAAGTGAAGCTCTTAGAACTTAAGTGAAACTACACATTTCTAAAAACGACTTAAAATTTTTTATCATAAATTATTTGGGAAGGATGTAATTTCCAACTGGATGTAAATATTAATATTAAGAAATAAAGCTTACCTCTTTTTAAATGCATTTGAGGGAATCTAAATACCATAGCAGCGTGGCACCTACCATCATCCATAAACTCTTCTTGAATACTTAGAAATGTTTTATTATTGAATTTATTTTCATTTCACTTTCCATAAATATTTTCCTAAATTATCCCCACATTTTGCTTTTCTGTAACAAATATGTGAAGGTAAATTGAACTTTAAAGTATTTTGAAATATTTTCAGACTTACAGAAAAGTTAATAAAATAGTTCAAAGAATTCCCATGTATTCTTCACCCAGATTTTCCAAATGTTAACATTTTATAAGATTTACTTTATCATTATACATATATATGTTTTCAAATTTCGCCAACTAATCTGCAGACTATATTCAGATTTCACTAGTCATCCCATTAATGTCCTTTTAGAATTTCTTGAAAGTCTAAGTCTTGGTGTATTTAATGAAATGTATCTTTAAAAAAATTTTTTTTTAATGCGATGGGGTCTCACTATGTTGCTCAGGCTGGTGTGGAACCCCTGGCCTCAAGTGATCCTCCTGCCTCAGCCTCCCATAGTGCTGGGATTACAGGTGTGAGCCTGTAGTCACGTGTGGCACACCCCTGCACCATATCTGGCCTGGAATGTTTCCTTTCTTGGGGTGGTTGAGGCCTCTAAAAAAATGAGGACATGTAGCCATAGATAAATATCTGACTGTTTAGCATTGTTTGTTTTCTTTTTTCGTTTTTATGGATACAAGCACTGAGAAAACTTTTTGGTCATATAATTAAATAGATAGGAGTAGAAGCTTTGTCACAGTAATCTTACTAGAGTTCTTTTAAGTCTTGAGGTGTATGCCAAACATCAAAAAATTTGTTTAGTGACTTATCAGTTCACATTCATTGGGGCCTTGTTGAAAGCAATGAATAGGAAACCACTGGATGCGGAAAAAGGTTTCCTATCCAGCCATTAGAATACATGTTTGTTTGCCCCAAATGTTTTTTATAGCCTAGGGCATACATCTTGTTATACTAGTAAGAGATGGGTATGGTTTTGTAAAGTGGAAGGGCCATAGTGAAAAAGAAGGCTTGAATGCTGGCTCATCTGTAGGTAGATTAGGTTTAAAAAGGAAGACAAAGAGAAGTAGAAGATTTGAAACATTCATGGCTCTATGCTTTTTAGGAAGCATTCTTACAGATGCCCCAGTCTTAAAGCCCAGTGCCCTCCCCTGCAGCTGTTTCTGTATACTTGCATCAGTGCATCTGCTAAGGTTTTTCTGGGCTTCATTACTTAGAGTTGGTGTCTCTTTTACCTGGATGTTTCCCTCCCAGTCCGACAAACTCCCAGCTATCTTTCAGGACTCAGTTCTGTGCTGCCTCTTCTGTGAAGAAGTCTAAGTTGTTTATGTGTCTGTCTTTTCCATTAGACTTCAAAGTACGTAGGGACACACCATGTCTTTTAATCACTAATACCTATGCATTGCCTGGCACAGAGTAGGCCTAGCCTGGTAAATGAATGAATACTTTCAACAGTAGCATATTCTATTTTTGGTTTACAATTGTATATATATTTTAAAACTGTTGTTGTATAAAATGTAATTAAATTTAAAATTCTGGGAGCAAATGTTAAAACTCTTAAGTATTAAGGGAATTATCACTTCATGTATTTTATCAAAATGTTTTGAGAAGATGTTATATGGAATCTGCTATAATGTGTTCTGAAAGATTATTTTAAAAGGCATAGAGGAACTGGTAATTAAGATTATGCTTTAGAGCATAACATGGCTTCAACTCACTCCTGTACATATTATCATTTTTATCTTAATTTTATTTTTAAGGGATGGCATGCATGTAGCAGTGAAAATCGTAAAAAACGTAGGCCGTTACCGTGAAGCAGCTCGTTCAGAAATCCAAGTATTAGAGCACTTAAATAGTACTGATCCCAATAGTGTCTTGTAAGTATAAATTTAACCTAGGAGCCATCTTATTACATGAAATATTCAGATTTGCGTAAACTGAATTATTATTTTGCTCTCTTTTAGCCGATGTGTCCAGATGCTGGAATGGTTTGATCATCATGGTCATGTTTGTATTGTGTTTGAACTGCTGGGGCTTAGTACTTACGATTTCATTAAAGAAAACAGCTTTCTGCCATTTCAAATTGACCACATCAGGCAGATGGCATATCAGATCTGCCAGTCAATAAATTGTAAGTACACTTCATAAATCTTTATTTTTATGTATGTATGTATGTATGTATGTATGTATGTATTTATTTATTTATTTTGAGATGGAGTCTTGCTCTGTCGCCCAGGCTGGAGTGCAGTGGCACTATCTTGGCTCACTGCAAGCTCCACCTCCTGGGTTCACGCCATTCTCCTGCCTCAGCCTCCTGAGTAGCTAGGACTACAGGCGACCGCCACCATGCCCGGCTAATTTTTTGTATTTTTAGTAGAGTCAGGATTTCACAGTGTTAGCCAGGATGGTCTAGGTCTCCTGACCTGGTGATCTGCTCCCCTCGGCCTCCTAAAGTGCTGGGATTACAGGCATGAGCCACCATGGCCGGTGATAAATCTCTATTTTTAAATATTTTTTGTATTTTTACCTCCTTAACAATTAAGATAAATCTTTAAGCACCAGGAAACTTGTTTTTATTATAAAAGCTATATATCCAAATGTCACTAAAAAAATAGACATTTTACAAGTAAAGGTGAAACGTCTCTTAACCACTGTATCCTTTGCCAGTCCTCCTTTCCTGGTAGTACAAATTAAGTTTGTAAGTGAAACTAATAATGTGTTTTTGTTCTCTTGTAGTTTTACATCATAATAAATTAACCCATACAGATCTGAAGCCTGAAAATATTTTATTTGTGAAGTCTGACTATGTAGTCAAATATAATTCTAAAATGGTAAGTTAAAGACTTGTTTTACTTTTGGTGGTTGTCTTTAAAATTAATTTAACTTGATGATCTTTGGATGAGGAATTTCACTCCTGAGCTTCATTATATCCTGATGTTTAACTGAAAAGAAGTAATCCTTCTTTGCCTTTCTCATGAGCTTATTTTGACAATCAAGAAGATAATTCATGTGCTGGCCTTTTGAGTAGTGCTATAAAATATTTCATATCTGTTGAATTTCATATTTACTCAACTGTATCTCTCTAGAAACGTGATGAACGCACACTGAAAAACACAGATATCAAAGTTGTTGACTTTGGAAGTGCAACGTATGATGATGAACATCACAGTACTTTGGTGTCTACCCGGCACTACAGAGCTCCCGAGGTCATTTTGGGTCAGTAGACAACACACCAGTCTTTCTGATATTATAATTGAATAAGAGATTTTTGTTCTTTACAGCTTTACTGGTGGTGTGGGGAAGTATGATCTTAGCAGGATTCAGAAAACGTTTTCTGTTTTCATAAAAAATGTGTGGACATTGCTATACTTTTCCTGAGTGGTAAACATGTGATACTGCCTGTGAAAGATATTTCAGGTGGTGGTTATTTTTGAACAAGTAAATCTTAAATGATCATAAGAAAACAGGCTCTGTTAGCTAAATGCATCAAAGAAATGTGATTTTGTGGTGCGATCTCGGCTCACTGCAACTTCTGCCTTCTGGGTTCAGGTGATTCTCCTGCCTCAGCCTTCCAAGTTGCTGGGCTTATAGGCCCCCTTCACCACGCCCAGCTAATTTTTTGTATTTTTAGTAGAGATGGGGTTTCACCGTGTTGGCCAGGTTGGTCTCCAACTCCTGACCTCGTGATTTGCCTGCTTTGGCCTCCCAAAATGCTGGGATTACAGGTGTGAGCCACGGTGCCTGATCTAAAAAGAAAACTTTTATGAGGTCCAAGCTCTATCATTTACAGACTTTATATGTGTTAATAGGTAGAAACTATGCTCCATTATTTATTTATTTTTTTGAGACAGAGTCTCACTCTGTCACCTAGGCTGGAGTGCAGTAGTGCAGTCTCACCACACTGCAACCTCCGTCCCCGGGTTCAAGCAATTCTCCTGCCTCGGCCTCCTGAGTAGCTGGGATTGTAGGTGCACACCACCACGCCCAGCTCATTTATATATTTTATTTATTTATTTTTTTGAGATGGAGTTTTGCTTTTATTGCCTAGGCTGGAGTGCAGTGGAGCAATCTCGGCTTACTGCAACCTCTGCCTTCCGGTTTCAAGCTATTCTCCTGCCTCAGCCTCCTAAGGCGCTGGGATTACAGGCACCTGCCACCATGCCCAGCTAATTTTTTTGTATTTATAGTAGAGATGGGGTTTCACCATGTTGGTCAGGCTGGTATCGAACTGCCGACCTCGTGATCCACCCTCCTTGGCCTCCCAAAGTGCTGGGATTATAGGCATGAGCCACCGCACCTGGCCCATGCTCCATTATTATCCATTTGTTCAAATGATAGACACTGGGGTGGGGGAGTTAACAAAAATGACTTAAGTCACAGTCAATATATATTGACTTGAATATATTTCTTCCTTTATCTTTAACCTCAGTGATACTGAAAGTAATTGAAATGTCTTTGAATGTAGGTTTTATTTGTACATTTGTTTTTTTTACTAAATATTTGATCTTTGAAAGATTAAAATATCAATGTGGTTGGTTCTTTCTCCTTCCCAGTTAAGTATAGATTTAAGGCGACTAGATGTTTTATTCTGATCTGAATAATACTGTCATTGAGAATTCTGAAGGAGAAAGTATATAAAATCATGTATAGACAGCCCTGATGTTTATATATAGATCCCTCTCTGAGCTCCAGTGGGTCTGTAATTTCTGCTTATAGGTGACACTGCTTATAATTCCCATTACATTTTTTATATAATTTGTGCAAAACAGTAGTATTTCTCTTAATGGAAGAAGTAACTCATGCATCAAGCTAATAATTGATAAGGGATTAGTAATTTCATTCTGAGGATAATTATAAACCTACATTTGTGCTAATAAAACATAAAAATTCTTGGACTAACCATGAACTGAGCATAATAATGGTTTCAACAGCAATGCACTCCCATCATATAAACAGTTCAGAGACTATGGAATATTTGCACAAATTGGTTGTATACTTGGAAAATGGTAGTCCCCCTTTTATTTTACATAACATGCACCCCTCCCTAGTTAGAATACTGTGTCTTGATGTGAGCATATGGACCATGAGAGTGTGTTGAATAGCATTTGCTGTAAAACTAAAAATATAAACCCTGAATTTGGTGTCATATTCTCCCAAATGGGTTCTGTAAAGGGAGTACCCATATAGGGAAGGATTTAATGTACTGTCAATTAAAAGTTGTTTCATAGTAAAATGTTTCTATTTGTTTTAAAATAGCTTTAGGTTGGTCTCAGCCTTGTGATGTTTGGAGCATAGGTTGCATTCTTATTGAATATTACCTTGGTTTCACAGTCTTTCAGGTACGTGGCTAGTAAATTCCATTTAATAATTCATAACAAATTGTAAATGTTAAAGGCATGCTAAAGTTTTGACTTCCATATTGGAAAATTGCCATACATCATTATTCTTAAGACTAAAACTTACATTTGCAAAATGGTCATTCTTTAAAACCACAGTTGAATGAAATATTACTATGAGTGAGTGATCATGGTTAATTTTGCATGTGATTAGTGTTTGTAACACATGGTTCATGTATGGTTCATACTGTCTCCTTTTTTACGTTGTGGAGCTCCTTCATAAGTTTGCAGCAGTGTTAATGTGGTCAGTTTTCAGTTCTGGTTATGTTGACTGTCGATGGGCCATTACGGGTCACTTACTCCTTTTTATAAAAGAATTCAGGAACAACAAGGGATTGTATTTTACTCTAAAGTATTAAGCATCTATAATGTCCTAGGCATTTCTAAGTATAAGTACATAAGGGTGAAGAGACAACATCTTCCTCAAGTCATGCAAAAGACATTGGAAAACTATTGCAGTATAGTGTAGCATTTGCTGTGATGGAACAATGTAGAAAGTGTAGATAGGGAGGGCCGGGCATGGTGGCTCACGCCTGTAATCCCAGCACTTTGGGAGGCCGAGGCAGGTGGATCACGAGGTCAGGAGATCGAGACCATCCTGGGCAACATGGTGAAACCCCATCTCTACTAAAAATACAAAAAATTAGCCAGACGTCATGGCGGATGCCTGTAGTCCCAACTACTCGGGAGGCTGAGGCAGGAGAATGGCATGAACCCAGGAGGCGGAGCTTGCATGAGCGGAGATCGCGCCACTGCATTCCAGCCTGGGTGACAGGGTGAGACTCTGTCTCAAAAAAAATTAAAAAATAAAAAAAACAAAGTGTAGGTGGGGAGAACCCAGGAAAGGTTAATAATTACTTTCTTTAGAGAAGGCATCACTGAGAACATAGGAAGAAGAGGAAGAGTTGGAAAACTGGAGTGCAGTGGGCATATAAGGAAGAGGAAATAGTATCTGTAAATGCACAGAGGAGTGAATGAACATATTCTACTCGGGGTAGAATAGCGTTGTCAGTGTCCTGTATAAATGGGAAAATTAGAACAATAGGCAAGGATCAATTCATAAAGGACTTCAAAGACTTTGCAGGGTATTGGTTTGATCCTAGAAGTCAGTGGTTTCCAAAAGTAGACTGGTCCAAAATGAAAATGGTTGTCTAGGATTGCCATTCTGACCATTATTTAGAGATTAGATTATCCCTCCTGCTTTTTTTTTTTTTTTAATGTCTCTTTTATGTAATTATAGTCATAGTTGTTGGTAGTTTGCTTTTAAAATAAAAAGTCCTCAATTGGTAAAACAAAAAGTAGGAAACTACTTTCTTTTCCATTCTGTCCTTAAGTTGTACCTACATCTGAAATCTAATTTTTTTTTTCTCCCTGAGATAGAGTCTCACTCTGTCGCCCAGGCTGGAGTGCAGTGGCGCAACGTTGGCTCACTGCAACCTCTGCCTCCCAGGTTCAAGTGATTCTCATGTCTCAGCCTCCCAAATAACTGGGACTACAGGCACGAACCACCACACCACAATACTTTTTTGTATTTTTAGTAGAGACAGGGTTTTGTTGTGTTGACCAGGCTGGTCTCGAACTCCTGACCTCAAGTGATCTGCCCTCCTCGGCCTCCCAAGGTGCTGGGAATCACAGGTGTGAGCCCCCGCACCCAGCCTGAAATGTAAATTCTTGAAAGCTTTAGGTGATGCAACCATTGAAGAACTTTAAGTAGGGTTGTGGTATGATGAAGGTGTTGTGTTGTCTTGTTTGGGGAAGAGGGGCTGGAGGTCCTAGCTCAGCACTGTTGAGGCTGGTTTGAAGTTAGAGCGGGGCGGGGGTGTGCGGCTGTGATGAGCTGAGAGTCACTTGGCAGCAGTGCACAGCGATGGATTCACTGTGGGGCACCTCACCAGGTTTCTGTTTCTGTCTCATCCGTAGAGATCCTGTTGAACAGTGCTCCGAGTTCATAGATAAGTTTGATGTCTTAGAATCACGGTTATCAGTCAGTTCTGGGAGGTGTTGTCTGGTTTTGCAGTGGTGAGCTGTAGGGTCAAGAAAAAGTTAAGCAAAGTGAATGCTTCCATCTGACTTATATAAAATGGATGCTTCAGGTGATTTTGTGATTATAAATCACTTTGAGTTTTAAATGAAGTACACATTATTGGAGAGGTGAGTTATATTTTAACTCTACCCTGCAAAATACTCTTAAACTAAGGAATTTCTTTAAAATGTGAAGCTAGTATTATTTCTTCCTGTCATGTATCACGATTTGGAAGCAATATGCAAGGTGCACTAGTTGATAGATTCCTTCTAAAAGTATTGCATAAAGCCTCTGCTCTCCAGAACAAGGGTTAGCACACTTTGGCCCATGGTGAAATCCTGCCTGGTGCCTGTTCTTACAAAAAGAAGAAGAATGTGCAATAGGGACCATTCATGACCAGCCAAGCCTGAAATATTTACTGTCCGGCCGTTCATAGAAGTTTGCCACCCTCTGCTCTAGAAGCATACCATTCCAGCTGTAAGTCTTTGACAGTCTTCTGTATTACACTTTACCCAGGGCTCTGTTACTGTCTAATTTAAGGATATGTGCTTTGACATGGGTTGATAGCTTAACTTTCCTCATATATGAGCTATATGACTTTGAGGTAGTATCTTAACGTCTTTGAAATTCATGTTCCCACATACCTCACTCAGAATTGTTTAGAGAATTATTGGGACTGTGTCTGTTGCCTGGGAATAGTAAGTGTTAACAAGTAAACTATTCATTGAGTACTGGTTGTTAATTTTCATTAAGCAGCTGATTAAATGAGGAGACAGTTTTTCTGGTAATCTTGCCCAGTTATTCTTTAAACAGTATAAGAAATACAAATAAAGAAGGAAACTGAAATTTTAGATTGAACAAGTTAATGTGTTTGTAGGGAAATGCAGAGTGCTAAATTTCTTTTTCTTGTATTTTTTAGACTCATGATAGTAAAGAGCACCTGGCAATGATGGAACGAATATTAGGACCCATACCACAACACATGATTCAGAAAACAAGGTATGTTTTTAAGATTAAAGCCTTTTGTTGGATACGTGCAGTAGCATATATTCAGACTACAGAAAACCCAACGTTGTTGTAATGCTCATTCCAAGGACTATAGATTTTGACTTTTTTTTTTTTCCCCCCTGTACTGGAGGTAAATTGTAACTGCATCTTACTCCTTTTTTTTTTTTTTTTTGGAGACAGAGTCTCACTGTTTCACCCAGGCTGGAGTACAGTGGTGCAATCTCAGCTCACTGCAACCTCTGCCTCCTGTGTTCAAGTGATTCTCCTGCCTCAGCCTCCCGAGTCGCTGGGATTACAGGCACCCACCACTATGCCTGGCTAATTTTTGTATTTTTAGTAGAGATGGGGTTTCACCACGTTAGTCATGCTGGTCTTGAACTCCTGACCTCAGGTGATCCGCCTGCGTCGGCCTCCCGAAGTGCTGGAATTACAGGCGTGAGTCACCACACTCGGCCGTGTTTTTAAAACCTAATATAATAAAAAATATTTACCTTGTGATCTAGTGCAGGGGTCCCCAAACTCTAGGAACCGGGCTGTACAACAGGAGATGAGTGGCAGGTGAGTGAGCATTATTACTGCCTGAGCTGCACCTCCTGTCAGATCAGCAGTGGCATTAGATTCTCATAGGAATGTGAACCCTATTGTGAACTGTGCATCCAAGGGATCTAGGTTGCATGCAGGTTCCTTATGAGAATCTAATGCCTGATGATCTGAGGTGGAAGTTTCATCCCAAACCATCATCCCTCCTCCCCAGATCTGCTTCCATGAAACCGGTTCCTGGTTCCAAAAAGGTTGAGGACCACTGATCTAGTAAACAAAATGGCTTTTGGGGTAAACTCAAGTTTACGTTTGCATAAATGTTTTCTTAAGGTGATGTAAAAGTAATACATAGAATATGAAAAAGCTTGTGTTTTGGAATCATATCACTCTAAGTGTGAAATGTATTCTGTCCTTAACCAGCTGTATATTCTTAGACAAGGTAGTATTTCCAAACACAGCTTCACCACAGAAGCCACCTAGCGAGTTTAAAGATTTCTAGCCCCATTCTAGATCTAGTGAAAACAGAATTTACAGGACTGAATCCAGGGGGCCCCTAGTTTTAAGCTGACATTGTTCCATGTATGATAGTTAGGAACAACTTAGTTGAGACACTAAAACCTCACAGAGTGGAGGATATAAGGTATCTGATATATAATTGTTGCTGAGGTTTTTAAAAATTGTATGCATATATATAATATAAGTCTATACACCTAGAGAGAGCTGCTTACCATGTCTCCCCTCATGGGTGCAGAGTAAAGATGTGACTCTTGTTATTTTACTAATCCAGATTTTTTGTTTTCTGTAGAAAACGCAAGTATTTTCACCATAACCAGCTAGATTGGGATGAACACAGTTCTGCTGGTAGATATGTTAGGAGACGCTGCAGACCATTAAAGGTAAAAGAAAAAAGATTAAAGATTAAAAAAATAAACCACATGTTTGCACTATTACTAATTTTTTTTAAAACAAAAACATTTCTCCCCCAGGAATTTATGCTTTGTCATGATGAAGAACATGAGAAACTGTTTGACCTGGTTCGAAGAATGTTAGAATATGATCCAACTCAAAGAATTACCTTGGATGAAGCATTGCAGCATCCTTTCTTTGACTTATTAAAAAAGAAATGAAATGGGAATCAGTGGTCTTACTATGTACTTCTCTAGAAGAGATTACTTAAGACTGTGTCAGTCAACTAAACATTCTAATATTTTTGTAAACATTAAATTATTTTGTACAGTTGTGTAAATACTGTATGTTTTGTATCAATAGCATAATTAACTTGTTAAGCAACTGTGGTCTTGATAATGCAATAGAAAAATTAAAATTAATTTTTCTTTTTGAGATTACCATTTTTAAATACCTTTGAAATATCCTTTGTGTCCAGTGATAAATGTGATTGATCTTGCCTTTTGTACATGGAGGTCACCTCTGAAGTGATTTTTTTTTGAGTAAAAGGAAATCTTGACTACCTTATATTCTTAAAGGAATATTCTTTATATACTTCAAATTTAGAACTTTAGTTTTTTTTCTGTAATTGTTGAACGGGTGATTATTATTAACTCTAGATAAGCAGGTACTAGAAACCAAAACTCAGAAAATGTTTACTGGTAGAATTCTATTAAAGTGTAAGTGTTGTATTCTTTTTCATTGGGTGATATTAGGGTGGTAAGTAGACATTCATGGAAAGGCATCCAGTTTGTCCATTGTGACAGTTTGTTTAAGAAAACCACATACACACTTTATTTAAGATTAAAATCTAACTGGAAAGTCAGCTTGGAAAATGGACATTTCCAAGTATGTTTGGTGAGTCACAGATATAAAAATAGAAATTCTGATGAGAGGTTTCAGTTTTTAATACCAAGTCCTTAGGAGTCTTAACATTGGCCAGCATCTGTTTATCAGATGACATAAATATGTAAACTTGTAAGAATTAAGGTTATTAATTAGGCAATTTATGTTTATGATAATTCTTACTGGAGAAGGAGGATTTGATTGGAAAGTATTTTGGGAAGAACGTGCTGCTGAAATTTCCAGAATTTAATTGATTGGTTAACATAAACTTTGTGACTTTAGGGTTTGTTGTTGTTCTTTTACTGTCCTTGTTTTCACATAAAAACTCTATGGAGCCGGGCGCGGTGGCTCACGCTGTAATCCCAGCACTTTGGGAGGCCGAGGCAGGCGGATCACCTGAGGCCAGGAGTTTGAGACCAGCCTGGCCAACATGGTGAAACCTTGTCTCTACTAAAGATACAAAGAATTTGCTGGGTGTGGTGGCACGCGCCTGTAATCCCAGCTACTCGGGAGGCTGAAGCATGAGAATTGCTTGAATCCAGGAAGCGGAGGTTGCAGTGAGCCGAGATTGTGCCACTGCACTCCAGCCTGGGCGACAGAGCCAGACTCCATCTCAAAAAAAGAAAAAACGAAACAAAAGAAAACCCACTATGTGGTAAATGTTACTTAATTGGGTAAAAGAAAAAAAAGTCTGTTGCTATGGTTCAGTCAGCCAGGTAGGAATATTTTTTGTCGTAGAATTCCTAAGTGCTTATTTCCAGATATAGGTTATTTTTTGTTAAAAGTATCCCTGTTTCGTAAGTGCATTACACAAATATTGGAGTTTTATCTGTTTATGTTTTGGTTTATTTTAGACTGAGTCTTGCTCTTTTGCCCAAGTTGGAGTACAGTGGCGTGATCTCAGCTCACTGCAACCTTCTGCCTCCTGGGTTCAAGCAATTCTCTTGCCTCAGCTTCCCGAGTGGCTGGGATTATAGACATGCACCACCAGGCCCTGCTAATTTTTGTATTTTTAGCAGAGGCAGGGTTTCACTGTGTTGACCAGGCTGGTCTCAAACTCCTGACCTCAAGTGATCCTCCTGCCTTGGCCTCTCAGTGTGCTGGGATTACAGGCATGAGCCACTGTGCCTGGCTAATCTGTTTATGTATTTTAAACATAAAATGCATGGGATTTTCTTGTAGGACAAATAATGAAACCAAGTTTGGTTTCCCATGTTACTTAGGGGCAACATTTGTCAATACAGTAAGACTGTGTTCCTAAAGTAGATTAGGAGTTTTAAGAAAGCTGAAACAAAAAGTTTATTGTAGAATGACTGGCATACATTATGTTTAGGCCTCTGATGTAGTCCAAATACAGTGACTGTATTTCAGAATAGTTGAACTATATGTGATAATTTTTTTAAAGAAGCATTTGCTGTTTAAAAAAAGTTTTTCCTGAGTCTACCAATGTAGCTCTATAGATTAAGGTGTTTGCTATCCTTTATTTTCCCTTTCATTCCTTTTCATTTTCCAGTGCCATTGTACTATCTAAGCCGCCCATCCTTTTCCCCCAGTAAGTGCTTCAAGTTCCCAAATTAGTGTTTACTTTCCATCAGAAACTCATTCTCAGAGTAGCTGATCTCAGGATATAGGAGGAAAGAAAAATATTCCCATTATTTCTTACTAAGAAGTTATTGATTGCTAACCCTGTCTCTTCTGAAAATTTACATTCTTCCCAAAGGGTATTTGCTAATTTCTAGGCCTAATTCGTGGAATTTCAGGCATTAAAACGAAACTTAAAAAAATTAGGATAGATGAAATGTTTAGAGGTTAGGGCTGTACCTCTGGGATCATTGAGTGTCTTTTGCCAACCTTCCTTCCCCTCTTCTTTGAGCTTTAAAGTTCCTAGTCTTAATTGCCTTTTTTCCTTGTATTTCTTAACTCATTTTCTGCAAGTTCCAAGAATTTTTTTTTTGGACCGTGCCTTGAGCTTCAACACTAAAAGGGAAAAAGATTTAGAATGGCCAATGTACATGAATCCTTTGTAATTTAGGTATTTTTCTTAATAATTTGATACCTCATAGTTTACTGTTTCTAGAAATTCCATTGAAGTCAAGCTTGGTTTTCTTATGAGGCATTTATAAAGTGCAGCTAAATAGATTATTTCCAGTTTGCTGCTGCTACTCATTTTCTTGAGGTTTTTTATTCATCCATGCATTCATGAAAATTTTCAGAGTAGTTGAATTAAATTGACTCCTGCTGACAGCAAGGGGACAAAGTACTAACAGTTTTATCATAGAAGTGAAAACTCCTCCTCTGAGCAGTCTAGAAGGACTACATACTAGAGAAACTGGAAGTGACTTGGCCAAATCTCCCGGTAATTATGACTTACATTCAGGTTTGCCAGATTCTAGCATTGTGCTTTCCTGTAATAATACATTGTGTCAGAACAATCAGTTTGATTCTTATTCACAGCTCTACTCTGAAGTGACTTGGAATGAAATGGAATAATAAAACCCAGGATTTTGCTGGGCGCAGTGGCTCACGCCTGTAATCCCAGCACTTTGGGAGGCCCAGGTGGGCAGAACATGAGGTCAGGAGATTGAGACCATCCTGGCTAACGTGGTGAAACCCCGTCTCTACTAAAAATATAAAAAATTAGCTGAGTGTGGTGATATGCGCCTGTAGTCCCAACTACTCGGGAGGCTGAGGCAGGAGAATCTCTTGAACCCCAGGAGACCAAGGTTGCAGTGAGCCGAGACCGTGCCACTGCACTGCAGCCTAGGCGACAGAGTGAGACTCCGTCTCAACAACAACAACAACAAAAAACCCCAGGTTTTATTACTTGTATTTCATTTATTCAAAATTTTCTTTACTAAGTGAGTTAAACATTGCATGGTCATTTGAAACCTTCTGTTTTAAATGGTAGGCAGAGACCAATATTTAAGTCTGTCTTTTGACATCCTGGAATGAAGAAACACTTTGGGAGTAGGTGACCTGGGTTTTTAACTCTCTCTTCCAGTTTCAAAATTCTGATTCCCACAAAATTTGGTGCAAATAAAATACGCATCTAGTACTTGATTAACAAAAGCTACATTTTCAAATATTGTAGTCAGAAGAATTCATTGTCAATAATAGCCGACAATCGTAGTCTTGGTAGAGCTCATATTTGCAAACAATTCTAATTCTTAAAGGTTTTTTTTTTAATCATTTGATCACTGTTTTTAAGAATTTGATCTCTCCACTCAAATCCCTAAAAGGTCTTAATATAATTTTTTGAATGTGGTTGGTTGGTTGGTTTTGTTGGAGTTCATTTTGTCTGTTTTTAGAGATGGGGATCTTGCTTTGTCACCCAGGCTGGAGTGCATTGGTGCGATCACAGCTCACTGCAGCTTCAGACTCCTGGGCCCAAGCAATCCTTTCACCTTTGCCTCCCGAAGTTGCTGGGATTACAGGTGTGAGCCACTGTGCAGGGCTCACAAGTAAAGGGAATGTAACGTTCAAAAGTCAGGTTAGTTTTATAACTGGCAATCCAGCCTTTTGGGATATAGTTAAAAGAGTAAATTCCCCTAATATGAATATACTCTGTTTAAGTCATTTGAGAGAGTTGACCAGTTCTATTTTAGGGATTAATTTTTAAAAAATAGAATGCAAAAGTCAATAATGACTTTCTATATACATATAGCCCAGCTTCAAAAATTAAAAACATTTTGCAAATTTTGTTCCTTTCCCCCTACTTAATTTCCCTGTTGTATTTAAATACAAATGCTGGATACCATATTATGTCACTCATGAGTTTTAATTATTTTTATTAAAATAGTTTGATAAATTATTTTTATTTTAATTATGAAATAGTGACATAATATGGTATCATAATATGGTATTAATTTAATTCCTAAAATATTTTTAACAAGTTTTTTCTCATGTCACTATCATATCTAACAAAATAATTATCTGATATTCAGTTCATATTTAAAGTTTCATGAATGTCTGAAGAAAATGCCATTTATAGTTGATTGGTTTGAATCAGGATCCAGTCAAAATAGGGGTCACTATGGTGAAATATTGAATATGGGAAATGCTTTAAGACAAATGACCCAGTTTTATTACCAAAAAAGTAGAATGATGTTGGAGGTGGAGACTATATATACAATGATTAAGAGCCCTGAGACATACTAGCATGTGTGGACTGTGGTTCTGATTCAGACAAATTGACTATGAAATGATATTTTTAAGCAGAATTTATTCTAATAAATACAGTAGAGAAATATACAATATTGCAACTTTTAATCAAATAGTGGATCCAGGCACCTAATCATCATCAGATGCTGAATCATTGGGTAAAAACTGGAGGACATATTAGTCCGTTTTTACACTGCTATAAAGATACTACTTGAGACCTCGTAATTTATAAAGGAAGGAGGTTTAATTGACTCACAGTTTTGCATGACTGGGGAGGCCTCAGGAACCTTACAATCATGGCAGAAGAGAAAGCAGGCACATCTTACATGGCGGCAGGAGAAACAAAAGTGAAGGGGAAGGAGACCCTTGTAAAACCATCACATCTTGTGAAACTCACTATCATGAGAGGAGCATGGGGGAAACTACCCCCATGATCCAGTCACCTCCCTCCCTTGACACATGGGGAGTATATTTCGAGATGAGATTTGGGTGGGGACGGGGAGCCAAACCATATCAGGGGA